TGCACTGCAGGTTCAGGTTGGATGTAGCCAGCCGTCTCCACTGCAGGAGTAAGCAGCAGAGCAGAGCCAGTGGCAGGTAAATCAATAGATTCTCAGCACTGGCCGGTTTGGCACAGCGGTTGAGTGTTGGCCTGTGGACCAGAGAGTCCTGGGTTTGGTTCCCGCTAGGGGCACGTACCACTAAACAAACAAACAAACAAAAAGATTATCCCATTGGGGGTAGTGCCACCTGAATCTACAGGAGGGGGGCATGCACTAAGCCTCCCCCCAGCTCCACAGCTGCACTCATCTGAATCATGTCTAGGAGTTTCTGAAGGAGTCACACTCTGAAGGTCCCAGCTCTGAGCAGAAATTCCTTTTCCCCGTGAACTGAGCTCAGCAGGGTGGGACCATGAGGACTTGGGAGGACAAGTCTATCAAAATAGTCTCCAGTTCGGGGTGGCACCAGCAGAGTCTGCAGGCGGAGGACAAGACTGGCCTTTTTCCAAGCCACACGGTTCAATGACTATCTGAGCATCTGCCTAGAGCTTCTCCAGAAAAAGAGCACCAAAGGTCCCAGTTGAGTGCAGCCCACAGACCTTTCTGCAGGACTCGAGCTTTGCAGGGTGGTGTCGCAGTAGTTGGAAATCTGGATTAGTGTACTCACCAGGCTGGCTCTGTAAGAATAGGCGTGCTTGACCCCAGAAAGATGGCTCTGGAGGGCAAGATGGCTCTGGGACCTCAGTGGCTAACCCTCTAGATCTCTGCTCAGGGCCATGCCACCCACAACATCTTCTCTCTTTTTTTTTTAATTATATAAAGTAAGCCAATTTTTTTCTTTATTAATTTTAGAGAGAGGAAGAGAGAGGGAGAGACAGATGGGAACATTGATAAGAGAGAACATCTATTGGCTGCCTCCTGCATGCCCCCCATTGGGGATTTGGCCCACAAGCTAGTCATGTGCCCTGACCGGAAATTGAACCGGCCACCTTTTGGTGCGTGGGTCGACACTCCATCACTGAGCAACACCGGCTGGGCCAGATCTTCTCTTTATGACTCCCATATGCCCTGAATTGCTTTCCCTCTATGGGAGCCCTAGGTGAGTACGCAAGAGCAAGATCCTGTGCGTTGGCCCTTTAAGAGAGCTCCTGGTTTCTAACAGGCTTCCTCTTCTTTCAGGCAGACAGATTCTCCACTGATTTTCACTGCCTGATTTTCAAATGCTATTCAGGCTCCTCTCCTAGCCCTGGTGTTCTGGGTTGGGGGTCCCAGTGTGGGTTTCAGACCCCACGTGGGTGCAGTCGCCAGCCCTTTCTGTGTCTTTGCCCTTTTTCCAGTCTCTATGTAGTTTCTTCTGTAAATCATTGGTCATAGTACTCCTGTGTAGATTTCCTTCATTTGGTTATTGAGGTTGATTGCTCTATAATTTAGCTGTAAATCCAGTTTGGGCTGGGAGGAAGTGAGTGTCTCTTCCACCTACTCCACAGCCATCTTGGAAAGTCTGTGTCTGCCCACTTTATAAATATTGTTTTATCTTGGTAGCCTTGTTTATACTTTTGGCTCTAGTTATACTTGTTTTATTTGTTAATACTAATATAATTACAAGAATGATGATGATGTGGACAATGGTCACCCTTTTTGTATACTTAATGTGTCAAAATGTGCTAAGCAGTTTGCATAGATTGTTTCATTTAATATTAACCAAAATTTTGTGTGGCTATTATTAATAATTAGGGTTTAGGACTAAGTTTAATAACTTTATGAAATCACATTGATAGCAAGTGGCGGATCTCAGCTTGGCATCTAGGCAGATTTTAAAAGGAATAGCACAGAAATGGGCATATAGTTATCCTGATTATCTCTAATTTTTATCTAGAAATGATGACTTGCCTCAATGTAATACTAAATACTGTATATCTATGGAAACTAAAGAATGACCAACAATTATCTTGCTACTGAGATCCTAATTGCAAGTTATTTAACATATTAAAGTAATTTCACTGAATTTGACAATGTGTTGCCTGTTCTTGGACATTAGCTATTTATATATATTATGTACAACCTTTAAAATAGAGATAGACAAATAAGTGGTAACATCAACAAGGAAACTATGATAATATATTATCCTTCATTTTGTGGAGGTGTTCGTCTGTTATTCATAAAGATTTTATAATTTGGAAGCTTAACATTTTAAAACCAGTTAAGTAAATGTATTTTATGTAAGAAAGAGTTGCTATACACACTAAATTTTATAATACTAAATTTATTTTGCATTTGTTATGAAACATATTGAAGCTAGTATTTAGTATACTTAATGGGTATATTAGGTATATAATCAAATCAAAATTAATAATGTAATGTAGCTATCGCTGGCAATTTAATTTTTATCCATGGGCTTAAAAGTTCTTTTAAAAATATACTGTGTTGGACTAATAGGGTCAGGTCAAAAGGCTTTAAGCCAGTGGATGGGCCTATATAGAACTGTTCACTTCTGAACGCACTCGCTCGATCATTCATTCACTAGGATTTGTGTTGGCTCTGTTTTAGGTACCAGGGATATAGCAATGAACAAAATAAGCATAAATTCCTACCTTTATGCAGTAAAAGTAACTGGGGATAGTCAGACAATTAATATACAAATAAATAAATGACATACGGTGATAACTGCGGAGGATAAGTTTAAAGCAGAATGGAGGTGTAGAAAAAGGGGAGGTGGGATTGTAGTTTGTATTTATTTCCAGCTTTGTTAAGGTATAGTTGACAAACAAAATTGTAAAATACTGAAATTGTAGTGTGATGATTTAATATATGTATATAAGACGAAATGACTTTCTACAATTGAATGAACATATCTATTACCTCACATTTTCACCTATTTTTTTGTGAGAATATTTAAGTTTTACTATCTTAGCAAATATCAATTCTATGACAGTTATAAAATACAGCCACCTGTTATACATTAGATCTCAGACCTTATTCACCTTACAACTAAAAGTTTGTACTCTTTTTTTCTAACCTATTCTTATTCTCCCCCACTTCCTAGCCCCTGGCAACCACTCTTTGATTCTATGAGTTTGATTTCTTTTTTTACTTTATTATTTTAAAATTTGACATGTAAATGATACCATACAGTATTTGTCTTTCTCTGTCTAATTTCACTTAACATGATGTCCCCTAGGTTCAACCTTGTTGCACAAATAATAGGATTTCTCTTTTTTACAAGGCTGAGTAATGTTCCATTGTGTATATACCACATCTTCTTTATTCATTCATTCATCCATGTACACTTAGGTAGTTTCCATACCTTGGCTATTGTGGCAATACTGCTATAAACATGATAGTACAGCTATCTCTTTGAGATAATGATTTCATTTCCTTTGCATTTACTGAGAAAGGGGACTGCTGGGTCATATGGTTTCTTGAAGAACTCCATACTGTTTTCCATAGTGGCTTTACCAGTTTACATCCCCACTGACAGTGTATAAGGGTTTCTTTTTCTCCACATTTTCCACAACACTTGTTATCTTTTGACTTTTTTGATAATAGTCATTCTAATGGGTGTGAGGTAATATCTCATTGTGGTTTTGATTTGCATTTTCCTGATGATTGGTGATGTTGAACTCCTTTTACTGTGCCTGTTGATCATTTGTATGTCTTCTTTGGGAAAAAAAATTCTATTAGTTCATTTGCCCATTTTTAATTGGATTATTTTGGGGGATTTGTTGTTTTGCTTTTGAGTTGTATGAGTTCCTTGTATATTTTAGATATTAACCACTTCTCAGGTATGTAACTTGGAAATATTTTCTCCCGTTTCATATGATCTCTTTTAATTTTATCAATTTTTTGTTTAGCTGAACAGAAGCTTTTTAGTTTAAAGTAGTCCCATTTATTTTTGCTTTTGTTTTCTTTACTTTTGGTGTCAAATCCAAAAAAATAATTGCCAAGCCCAGTGTCAAATATCAAGGGGCTTACCTCCTATGTTTTATTTTAGAAGTTTTACAGTTTAAGGCTTATATTTAAGTCTTAATCCCTTTTGAGTTGATTTTAGTGATAGTGTAATATAGGGATTCAGGTTCATTCTTTTGCAAGTTGCACTCCAGTTTTCCCAGTATGTTTATTGAAGATACTTTCTCCACTGTATACTCTTGGCTTCCTTGTCAAAAATTAATTGCTCATTTATGCCTGGGCATTTATTTTGAGATCGCTATTATGTTCCACTAATATATGTATCTCTTTTTAGATCAGTACCATGTTGTTTTGATTATTATAGCTTTGTAATATAGTTTTAAAGCAGAGACTGTGATGCCTCCAGCTTTGTCCTTCTTAAAATTGCTATGCATATTTGGGGTCTTTTGAGGTTCCATAGAAATTTTAGAGTTTTTTTTTTATATATATATATATATTTTTGTGAAAAATGCCATTGTATTTTTTATAAGAATTTTATACACTCTGGAAATCACTTTGGGTAGTATAGACATTATAAAAATACTAATTATTCCAATCCATGGACATGGGTTATCTTTTAACTTATTTGTGTTTTATTCAATTTCTTTTATCAGTGTCTTATAGTTTTTAGTACAAAGATCTTTCACTTAGTTACATTTATTTGTAAACATTTTATTGTTTTTGATGCTATTATAAGTGGGATTACTTTCTTAATTTCAATTTTGATAGTTCATTGTAATTTGCATTTTCAAGTATGAGCAGAGTATTACTTGACGCAACAAATACTTGAAGGTAATTAGGGCTTAATATATACAAATATTCGAGGGAAGTGTATCATTACAAAGACTGCCGTGTGAAAGTCCTCGCTGGAGCATGGCTGCAGTTTTCTAGGGGTACAAGAGATCCATTGTGGCATAAGCACTATTAATTTAAAAAGTTTTCTGTGAGAGGAATTAGTGAATGACACTAATGCGTTCCCATATGCTTTCAATGGAAGGTTTATGAAAACGGCATTTAAGCATTTATGTTAATTTTTTATTTGTTTTCTTTTCTTTTTTTTTTTTTTTTTTTATTAGTTCTTGCCAGTAGCCTCAGTCCCTATCGTGAAGGAAGATTTATAGAGCGGCGACTGCGGTCCTCATCAGAAGGAACTGCAGGGAGTAGCAGAATGATTTTGAAGCCAAAAGATGGAAATGTAGAAGAAGTTAATAGTCTAAGAAAGCAAAGAGCAGGTTCATCGTCTTCAAAAATGAACAGCATGGTAAGTACATACATATGCCTGCATGATGCAATCATTCCATCTATACCTGGCATGTTCTCGCATGCAAAATGAAAACAGACTGAAGACTAGACTCCTTATATTTGAAGGGAAAATTGATCTCCATAGTTGACGTCACAAGTCATAGATGCTAAGTTTTCACTTAAGACTCTCATGACAGATAGGAGTACACCATGACAGCTACCCTTAATTCCTGTCTTCTTTGCTTCCATAGAAAGTTTGAAGTTCTCCATTCTGGAGCAAAACCCTGGAATACACAAGCTAAGGGAAGTTCTGGTCGTGGGGATACCCTCTGACACTATCACTGCACACCATCTCTTCACCCAGCAGCCATTATAAGATATGTCCTTTCGTAAACCACCCTATGACCCCGTAATGGACACCACTCTGCTGGTCATTTTATAGTTGCCCCTCCACACAGAATGAGGAGCCTGTGGATCAAGGCAAAATCCAAAGCCTTCATACTTCTGGGTAACAGAGATTCTAGATTTCTGGTCTAAACCAGGGAGCCTGCTGATGAGAGTGGAGGTGGGATGTGTAGGGGGGCAGTCAGGGCTTGCATTTGTGGACTGGGTGTCTTAGAAGTGTGTGCATGAAGCTTCCTTGTAATGTGAGGTGGAGCCAGAGGTGACCAGAGGGCTGCAGCCCAAGGGGTCAGGAGGCCTCAGGTCTCCCAAAGAGATTGGAGTGGGGTTTGCCTTTTGGAGTTCACTTTATTCAATTTCTCACAAATATGTTCTTTTTTCATCATTGTCTTTGATCCCAAATATTTAACAGTGTTTCTTTCAAATGATCTATCTACCTACCTACCTATCTGTTCATGCATATATATGAAAAATGCACAAAACTATGTAATTTACGACATTTCTATGTATGCTTGATAATTGTTTCAAATGAAAATATGAGCTTATGTACTTCAGACAATAGTGTTGTGAAGAAGAGTGAAATTCCTGAGGCACTATTGAGTGATAGTAAAACCACTGTACTTGAAGTTAGGAGTTCTAACCATCAGGTCAGGCTTGGCTGGATTTTAATCTTGAGCAAATCAGTTACTACAAAACAACAAATGATGATGGGTTCCTTCTTCCTATTATACAAAAAAAAAAAAAATGTGTGTATTTACATGTGTATATACAGAAATATATTTCAGCTTTCTTTTTTTTTGTGTGTGCTTTGAAAAATGTTATTATTTTAGCAATTGATGTTTCTTGTCTACATTTAAGAATATGTTAAGAAAGATTTCCAGTTGATGCATCACTAAAGGTTATGGCTGATGAATTATTATGAAATATTTATTTTCACAAAATTTCCATTCATCTTTTACAGAGCAGTATTTATGTTAATAATTGCATACCCTTGACTAGACTTGCCCAAAGTTGGGCCTTTTATGTATTCTTTATGTCTCATTTTTCATACTATTTTAAAATATTTTCCTTATAATATCTCAAAATCACTTTTTCTTTAAGATATGCTGTCAAGATTTAAAATTTTAAATGTCAAAGCACAAAAATGTAATTTTGTTATTTTATTTGAGGCTTTTTATGCATTTCCAAAAAGTGTCCCTGCAATGATGTAGATTTCCACTGGATGGCAGGATTATACCATTGCCATCGTCAGGGAAAAGCTCTAAGGCTTGCGGATTTTCAATCTTTTTCATCTCCTGGCACACATGAGCTAATTACTGAAATTCTATGACCCACCAAAAAACAAAACAACATTTTTTGCCAATCTGACAAAAAAAAATAGGTATAATTTAGATTCATCCATACCGGACAGCTATAGTTGTGTGGGCTGTTGTCATTTTCTTATTTGACAATCTAAGGGAAAAGAGGTCAGTGCCTCTGACTGTGTAGTCAGATATTGCATGTTTTACAAATTCTTATGGCACATTGGGTGAAAATTGCTGCTTTGAAGTATAAAGTTTGGGACAGAAACTTGGTTAAGATATTATACATTTTCACTGGATTTACAGGTCAAACTTGTTGAAATAAATACTAAAACTCTTGAATTTTCACACAAAACTTATAAAAAGTTGCTTTATGACATTACTGTTCTTCTTTGATTTGCAACTAATATCTCATCCTTTAATTAATTTACAGTATAATAGTTTATTAAAAATGCATAAAAATATATTTTTTAAATCTAAGGAATAAATGCTAGGATTCCTTAGGTAATTTTAGCTATAAACAAGTGACATATATTTAGGGAGTTATAGCTTTTTGTGTGAAAAGTGACATACATTTTCATATTCCTTTTCCAAAATAATTAAAGTTATTCTCTTTTTTATAGCAATAATAATAGTGACATGTATTTTTAAGGCTAATTTCATCCAAGGCACTATTTTTAATGCCTTGTATTATCACATTCAATCTTCACAAAACTATGAACCAAGGGATACTGTTATTGATCACAGTTTGCAAAACAGGAAAAAGAGGCACTAAGGAGCTAAGCAAGTTCTTGCCCAAACACCAACAGTAAGTGGTAGAGACTGGGTTTAGATTTGTACCCTAGCTCTCTAATTTTAAACCATGCATGCTTTTTTTTGGGGGGGGGGGTTTAAATTAATTTATTTTTTAAATTTTTTCTGCATTATTTGTGTGTAATGATCGTAACACATTTAAGGCAAACTGTGCTTACTACACTGAGACCCTTTATAAGGGATACAAAAAAGCAAATAAAATTTAGTACTTTTTCTGGACTTAAAATTTGGTAGTATTTCTTGATATGCCAGTGAGTAGCATCAGTGTCTTTACTGAGAGAGAGCTCATTCGGAAATGAACTTGGGCCCTGGTGATTCCCGGTCAGGGCACCATGCCCAGGTTGCGGGCTCAGTCCTCAAAAGGGGGCATGCGAGAGGCAGCCGATCGATATTTCTCTCTCATTGGTGTTTCTTGCTCTCCCCCTCCCTTCCTCTCTTTCTAAAATAAATAAAAACATATTTTTAAAAAGTAAAAAAAAAAACAAAAACACCATTGTCACAAAACAAGATATTCATGCTTAGAAAGAATGGAACACTTCTTACAGTTCAGGGAGATTTAATCCTACCGACAGGATATGGCTCTGTTTATGAAGTTGCTAAGGGTTCCTGAACAACCCAAAGTATTCTCTAGATAGATTACAGTTCTAGTTTTTTGTGTGTGTATACTTTGGGCATATTTCAGTCTGAAAGGGAAATGGTAGCATGTATTGATTCTTTAAACATCAATGGCTCAGAAGAAATTGGACTTTGCTTAAATATATTACAAGAAACTAAAATATATCTGAAGCAATTTTACAAGCATTCACATTTACTATATATGTGCAAACTGCTTTAAATAAAGACTTTTCTTAATTTTTCTCTAATGAGTAACTTTCTTGATACTTTTCTTAGGAGGGTCCAAATATTTTAAAAAGATAAAAACTTTTCTAGAAATAGGCTTTTTCTTTCTAGTTATATCAATGAATGCATGTAAGGATTTGTCATGGTTTCTCCAACAGCTTTACACAGTGAAGTCTACCTCTGAATAGTTACAAGATCACCCTCGTCTAAAAAAATTATTAATGTGAGGATAGATCATATGTAATGAACAATATAGAGCATCTGCCACTACAGAAAGAAAAATACCTGAGTTTTGAGTAAGGATAAGCTAAGCTATGTGATAGCAAATATCCTCTGAGTCTTAGTGACTTAATAATATGGATTTATTTCTCACTCAGACTACATGTTCACTGTGGAGGGTGGAGTTCTGCTCAACATCTCATTCTGTATTTGGGCTGTTGAAGCAGCTACCTTTGCAAACATTGCCTTTTATCATGGCAAAAAGAGCTCTCTGGAGGTCCTCATCCCAGTAATAAGTGCTCTGGCCCATGAGAGACTCACTTCACTTGTTCTCACAACTCATTGACACATCTAATCACGTGGCCCAAACTCACCACAAAAGGCAGCAGAAAGTACAGTTTCTTTCTTGTGTCTGGAAGTTGTAGACCCAGATGTGCCTTGTCGGCACTGATGACTGTCATATTCTCAAATAATTTATTGTATCTCAGTTCTTTTAATTAACTGAGATTTCCTGCTTGCCCCCTCCTTGCCTTTTGTCCACATTTTTTTTTTTTTAAATCCTCACTTGAGAGGAAGAGAGAGGGAGGGAGAGAGAAACATCAACGTGACAGGGACACATCAACTGGTTGCCTCCCACACAACCCTGACCAAGGCTGGGGAGAACCACAACCGAGGTACATGCCCTTGACCGGAATCAAACCCAAGATTCTCTGGTCCATGGGTTGACATTCTATCCACAGAGCCAAACTGGCCAGGGCTGTCCACAGTTTTTAATGGGCCCTGACTTTAGGGCTCGCACTGAGCTGATTACTTGATTGAAAAAGTTGAAGACATCTTTGAAACTAAAGGATTCATTCATAATTACAAGTTTTATTTGTTTATTATTTTTTTTAAATATGTTTTTATTGATCTTTTTTAGAGAGACTGGAAGGGGCAGAGATATAGAAACATCGATGTGAGAGAGAAACGTAAATTGGCTGCCTCCTACATGCCCTCCACTGGGGATCAAGCCCCAAATCTTCACGTGCCCTGACTGGGACTCGAACTGGGACCTCTCAGTCCGTGGGACGATGCTCAATCCACCGAGCCACACTGGCCGGCTCAAGTTTTATTTTTTGGCATATGCTCTCTTCCTGACTTAAAGGCCTTGCGATGCATATCTAAAAACTATTTGATTTAGTTTCTGGGAATCCTACTATATTTGGAAGTAAAAATTTTTATTACATTAAAAAGCCGATTTGGAAAGTTATGTTATCTTTAGTTGACTCAGCAGATGCAGCCACAAAAGTCACCCTTTACTATTTGTGTTGAGCGATTCTGACAGCATTCATTTATGGCTAGCTCTGCTCTGACACAGTGCAGTTTCATTTAGTTGCAGTTTGGCATCCTGCTGTCTTTGTGTAGAAGCTGTGAATCGCCTGGTGGAAACATAAGCTGTAGGACT